CTTTTGTTCATAATGAGCTGCACCGAACCTTGAGGCAAACTGAATGGCAGTTGCATGGCTATCGAAATGTATGCTAACCACCATATGCAACCGGATAGCACCCATGTGTCCAGTGGACAATTATTGCTTTCCGTGGAGTATTTGGTCAACGTCGTCAGAGTTAGATTCTTTATCTTAGACGTCTTACACACCCACGTTTACTAGTGCAGAGTTAGTTGCTTTTTCTTTATTTTCAAACAGAACGGTCGGAAAACCTTTCATGCTTCTAATGGGTATGATCTGACTTTTGCAAGGTTTTAAGTGATAATATTCATTGTCCCAACCACTTGAAATAACTAAAATAATGCCCCATACATTGGTGACGTTCGCTAAAAGTTCGGACTCCTTGCAGTAAGATGTTGTACCCAAACGTCCTGGGAAGTAATTGTGATCAAAGAGTGCGCACACTACCTACGATCTTTAAGAAACTTATCCAGTAATTATCTAAACATCCCACACTTATTGGACGTTTGATTGGCTCAAAACTTGTAATATAGAGCGGTGCACGTGATAAAACTTTTCCTATTTCAAAACTAGTTTGACCGAAGTGGTTGCAGAACATCTGTGTGTGAAGAAGAATGTGTAAGACCGTGAGGCTAAAGCCCAGCAAACAGAGAGTATGACAACTTTTTGGCTCGTAAAGGTACTAGTAATCCCAAATGAAATACTCTCAGAAGCCTAATAATGGCGTACTATCACAGTCGACGTTGGGGATATAAAATGGCCTATTATCTAGGCTTTATTACGTACACGCAGTATTGATGCGAGGTTCTAAGGGAAACAGCATATTTTTAAAGTAAACTGCTTCAAACAAATCAGTAATATATAAAAGAAAATATGCGAACTGGATACGCACAGAAATTACGTAGTTGTACTCTTATCACAATGCAACGGCTGTCCAGTTTTGTTTAATCCACCATACGCTTAACCTCAATTATGCTTGAACGAGCGATATGATGTGGACATCAACTATTTTCCGGTTAACTGAAGTTGTTGTTCTGTTTTTTTTGTAACTAAATCACTAGAGAAGGCACAAAGCATTTGAACAAAAAGTTTGTTGAGGTAGATTATGCGTTAAGAGCACACGTCAGAATAACGGCAGATGCTATCGTTGGATGTAAACAATACATGAGTTGAAACCAGCAAATGTTAGCCAGCTGTTAAGCATAGAGTGTAAGTCGCCAAAATGGGGCCTTCCAAAAAGCCTCTTTCTCAGCAGTAATCTTCGCAGTCAGAAGTCGAATAGATTAATCTCGCTCTGGCTGGAGCACTTCTGCCCTGCATTTGTGAGGATACACAGTGTGCTCATTAAATTTCACGAAGTTCAAAGCAGACAGTTTGTTGGGCGATTTAAGGCATTTTCCTTAACCAGTTGCCTATTTGCTGAAAATCAGTATTTTGTAGATAGCCGATGTGTCACCACTTGGAGCTGCAGCTTCCGATCGACTTGTTTACAACGACTCAAGTTCTTGGTTTCCTATGTGCTGCAGTGAGCAGTTCGGTCGAAGCCAGGAACTTACTCTGATTTTTTCTGCGCAATTTATTTTGAGATATATTTTTACTTTTTGCACAACTCAAGTGTATTACATCAAACCTAAGATCTAATTATTCACGACAATGCAATCCTCTAAAAAGCGTATTTTAGCACTGGTGAAGTTAATAAAAATTCATAACAAGATGTCTCCCTCACAGAGGTCACTGGACAATAAGTTGTCCGCGTTCAGCACCGATATCTTAATTAATAAGGTTTTGCAGTGACACAACTGAACAGGGTTTAGGAATTCTATGGTGCAAAAAAGACTGAACATGCCTACAACTATGGAATATACAGAAAATTATGATGGCACTGATGTGGACCCCCCGGTAGCGTGCTAATGTATTTCGTTAACAGCCATGAGAGCATTTTGGCTCCATAGATAGATTACTGAGGTCCCATAAATTTTAGTGCCGGTATTCGTTGTCGATTTTGTGTATCGATCTTTTTTTACTATGTGCAACTCATCAAGTGTTGTGCTTTCTATAGATCAAATAAACGCCTGCACTTTAGGACTTAGCAGTGAGTCCTAGTCTATCGTCTACCAATCGGCTATTTTATAGGCTGACCAAGGCAGCCTTGGTTATTTTACGATGTGAATTTTCACGATCAACATCTTGTCTTAGTCAAATGAAAAATAACTAATCTGAATGTGAGCTGAAGTTTGTTATGTAGGCACGCTTTTGGAAAATATTATCAGAGCGCTGGTGTTTTCAAGGCTCTTGACGGATAAAACGAACATAACGACCACGAACGCGTTGAACGTTTCACGTTATTTTGTAGATTGTCTTATCCCACGAATTTATCTCTTTGTAGGGTGATTGCGTGTCTAAAATCAAATATGATATCTGATAAGCTGTTAATTGGATTTTGTCTTGCCTATACATCTGCAATTGCGGAAGGAATACCCCCACCTGAATGTACCGTTATTACTTTTTAATAATTTATTATTGCAGCAGCGACGTGAATATAAAAGCTTCAAAACAAATTTACGTTAATTGCGCTTCCAGAGAAACATATAAATTTATAAAATTCCACAATGAAGTTTAACAATAATTTTTCAAGATTGCTACAAATATTCCTAGTAAAATGTAAGCAACAGTTTACGTTAACTAACTACTGTTGAAAAGGTGCTCGTGGATCGTGCGAAGTTTTAAACAATCATNATCATATATTAATTTGATAATCATCATGATTTTCAGCAACCTTAAATGCATCCCGTACACCAAGCGTCACTACTTGTATTGGTTTTATGCTGCAGTGGATTTTACAAAAGTTTTACACCTAAAGCACTCTACAAACAACCGATAGTCACACAACATTTCTGGTCAGTCGCCACAAGACGGAAATTTTGCTTCATGTTGAGCTGGGCGTCTAGTACATTCATTTGATTCTTGTCGTGAAAATACCTGCAAAACAGTAAAGCATCATTCGGCATACTGGTCAGGGGGATCTAACTATACGGACCTCACAAAATTTGGGCAACTACCGCATAATTTTTAGGAGGTGCGACATAACAGAATTTATTTTGGGGAAGCTGACACAGTCTAGCTTCCATACGTGCTTCACCGATGCCCAATCATTGTACAGGGATCAGTGCACTGAAATCTTGAACAATATATGTTTGTAAGCATTGGAAAACTTTCTTGTCAGGGTAAAGCATCAATTTACGTCATATACGGATTAAGCGCTGCCACGTGGCTTTCAGAAAAGTACACTGACACTGGTCGAGGTTATCATGTTATCAGAGATGGAAAACAAATAATGCAGACACAAGTCCTGAGTACGATCAGTTTGGCCAACTTATCGGGTGTGTGAAATGATTGAGACTTAATGGTGAATCTATTCAGTTAGACAAAATATTTGTAATAACTGCATTCGCCGAAGATGATAGTGTGTGTTATCGAAGGAGATAGCACAAAGCTCGAAGGATAACAGAAGCATCGATTCAGAGTGAAAAAACTCGCTTGTGATTCAAGGTGAATATATAGAGATATCTAACAAAAACGAGGACGTCAACGGGGAAATAACCCCGACCCTTTAGCGGGTATTAGGATACATGTTTGATACTGTGCTTTTATGTAACGTTTGGTTGATCTATTGGGTTCTCAATTATGCACGCTCCTCTGAATCCTAGATATGATGAATGTGTAATTTCGTACTTTTGTTCCCTTATTGACAGAATTGTTACAGAATGATGTGATGCAGCTAAAAGGTATGATTCATTCTGACGTAGATCTTGGAGCCTTCTTAAGTGGAAAAGTGCTCGCGTCGAAAATGAGGCGATATTTCTGATAAAAGACGTCTGCAGCTTGTGCTTGAAAGCTAGAAATATTAGCAAGGGAATAAATAATTGTAATATTTTTACAACAAAAGAGCTCCAAATTTATTTAAAAAACGTTGATGCTCTAGAACCAAAGAAGGCCCTTCGCGGTTAATTGCTGAAAAGTGACCGAGCAAGTTGATGCTCTAGAACCAAAGTGGACCCTTCGCGGTTAATCGCTGAAAAGTGACTGAGCAATCCAATAACACTTACATTTATTTGGAAGAAACCGGCCCTTCGACAATTCATGTGCCAGCAGCCTTTAATATCGACCTTGACGAGGAAGTATACTTGCGGAATCCACAGTTGTTTTACCGGAACACGCAGGCACATATAAGGGCAGCAGTATGCAAAATATAAAACGTGAAAACTTTTTCGCACAAGCACTTCAAATTTCAAGTGGTATGATGCTATCTGCGACACAGTTACAGAAAACGGATTAGGTAGACGGTCGTCTTTCACGCGTAACTGATACACATGATGGTCAAAATTATAGAGGCGGTACTTGCGTAGATGATTTTGGTCTACAAACTATGAAAATGTCAATCACTCGAATTTTGAATGTATCCGAGCAGCGGAAATTTTCCACTGGTCACTTGGTGATGTTCGTCGAGGAGCCGATCAGTTTTGGTCACACGGTGGAGGTGTTACATTTTTTGCTTCCGACACTTAGCGCAATTCGTTGTGGCTCAACGTAAAATATTCTTGCGCTAGTGATCTTATTTAAGTGCCAATATTTCTGGGAAACAGTTGCATAGAAATAGTATTTGATACAAGGTGCTACTGTGCTTTTCAGAACGCGAAAAGATAAAAAAATACTGTTTGTACATGATAAATCACGTTCCGTGGAACTATTAAAATGATCGCAAAGATTAACAAAGGACTTTCAGACTTACCACAGACGTGGTGCGTGATAACCGGCCATCGCCATCATTTAAATGAACAAAACGTTAACCATATATTTCAACAGTGCGGACCAATACGATTTTCCTATTTCTGTAGCACGAACGCCTGAATTTAACAATTCATAGTGAAACCCGTTAGTACGGTAGAGATTCATGAAGCTTCAACGAGCATAAAATTGCAATATAACATTCAGGCACAGTCTGAAAAAAATTAGCACTTTTGAACCAAGTGTGTCACACTAAGAAGAGGAAGCTGCTGGATGCATAAGAGCGATTGGATATGCTAGTCAGGTATTTTTGCAAGCCAGTAATTAGTATTACGGATTTCGCAGAAATGCGTGGTGGACAGTTTGGCCACTGTGCATCCGGGTCAGCTCGTGCGACGTTTGAGGTGTATGCTGTGCTATGCAAATGGCAGTGCTGATACATACTATTTTGACTTATTCTCAAAGATTTGTCTTCCACGGGTTACATTCCTTAAGAAGCACTCAACTGTCAACATAACAATATGACAATATAATTTTATTGCAAATTTACCCTTTTAGGGATTATTTATAATCATTTTTGGAGACAGAGGTGGACCGAAATTTTTATTAAGCGCCAATGATAACTGGAATTATTTAGAACCCCCGAAGAAAGCTGATGAAATATTTTGCTCACCAGTTTGAACTCTTCACCGTATCCAGCCTTTCAAAAAATCGCGCACATGCTAGAGGTGCAAACATTTTGGTGCTCTCCTTCACCAACAAACTGCGTTATTCGCTTACAACAATCGGAGACTCTAGCTTAGCCTAAGTTGGAATAATGTTTATTCAAATTCCAGATGTTCGCAGTATTTGCAAGCTTAAAATCTTGACTTATGTAATAATTTCTTTAATAACGGTTCTCCTTTGGACCTAGGTGCAACTTATTATTTTTTTTATTTTTCACAGACAAGCTAGTCCTTGTCCTATTTGGTCTTATTGGTAAGCCTAATTCAGTCGTTTTATATGGTTATAGCTTTTGTCCAGCCTCACTTGACAGTAGTGCTTGTTCATTTTGCGGTTTGATACAACCATGTACTCCATTGTTTGCCTTTAGTAATGGAGTATTAGAATCATAAATTCGGCTCGTCCGTTATCGCTCGGGTGTACGAAATTTCGAAAGTTTAACATGAATCATTGTTTTAAAAGCTGAGAAAATTTCAACAGAGTTCCACTGTTTGCGCCAAACATTATGTGGTCATTAAAATACAAACACATGGAAATTATTCAGAAATTCAGCCGGAAATTCCATGTTACATGAATTAGGCTCTGGCATCAGGCATCGAAATGTTCTCACTGGACAATTATCTGAACTACTTTTGTCTTAACTTCGGAGGAACCACAGAGCAAGAAATTTCAGAAGTTCAGGGTATGAATATCTAAACGAAGCGTATTTTCGTAGGTGAATGTCTTAAAAACATTTTGAATAACAAAACGTAGGAACAAAATATGCATAAGTGCAGATCATACCCGCACAGGACTAGTGTATTCAGCAAGAATTTGATTTAGGTGCAACAATTTTACGTAGCTCTTGAATTGTAAGGCACCCAAATGCTTCAAAATATTTGGGTATTTTGAACCTTCCCTACAATATCCAGTTTTATTTGCAATCGCACTAACACGCATATTCCGTTTTTGCCTCCTCCTCTCACATGAACAATTTTCATTGAGCAGAATGCACAGAATTTACGCTGGTGAAAGCGAGAGGCTCCACTTTTTCCTGAATACACCAGTAATTAACTTTTGACAGAATACTGACTAAACGATTAATATGTTTGTACACTGTTAGTATAGTGATATCCATCGTGTAGAAAATAGCCGATCGCAAAGGTCGATAATCACACACTTTCAGGTTATTCGACTATCCGTATATCCTGTATTTCGAACATCCGTTTGTGATGAAGTTGTTGACCGTACCACTGGTTTAATGGAATGCACATAGCCGCAGTTAAGCATCTAACGGTAACCAACAAGTCTAAGAACCAACCTGATTAATATAGCATTGAAAGTTCCCACTCAGCTGAGTCTACGCGTTTTGGGTATTTTTTTTTATTTAGAAAGTGACCTACGGGACTGCTTGCCATCATCCGATGATTGGGACCTGAATACTTAAGGCCACACAACTTTGTAAACACACTTGCTTGTGAGAACCTCCGAATTTACACAACAAACTTTAGGCAACCGCGAAATATTTTCACGGCTTTCGATAAACAGAAGGTGAGTTGCAAAAAGTGACGTATTTGGGCATCCTTAACTGCTTTGCTGGCCCGGGGTGCTGCAAATATCTGCAGAACAGCTGCACATAAAATATATTCGAAAAGAGAAATTTGAAATATTTGAGATGTGGTGCGCCATATCCAGCAACTGGGTTGACGTTGCAAGATCACGTGTTTGCTAGCAGCAGAATTATTTCCGTAAAATTTACTCGTCACAAATGTTGTTACCGGTGTCTATTGTTGAACAAAGCCTTTTACTGGCGGTAGGCAGTTATACATTTCATATGTGTTTAATTCGTATGTGCGAGTGTGGGCACTGTATTTATGCGTCCTCAATATATTTGTCTTCTTCTTCTAAAGGTATATAATCGATTGTATCATATAGGACGCATCAGCTAATTAGTTATATCGTAAAACGACTAATAACTTTCCATTGTAGAAATACATCCACAGTAACAGCGGGATTAATCATTCGCCTTCAATGTCTACTGATTTGGCACACAAATGCATGTATTGCATTGGTTTTCGCTATAGCAAAAGATAATGGAAATTATAATAAGTTTGCTTAAGCTTAAATATTAGCCGCATATTCTAAGCAAATTCAGGGCTGTATATGGCTGTCTATCAGTGACAACGTCGGGAGTGAATTTTGCAAGCTACAAATTTTTAGGCCTGTAAGTCGCTCACGTGTTCACTGAACATTTTTGGAATCCGCAACAGTGCAACTGGAAATACACAAGGACGTCCGGAAAAGTCGACTTCTTGATCAAGCTGTCGATCCAAAATATTTTTACAGTTGGGGACCAGGTGGGGATAAGCTTTGAAAAAGCTTCTATCTCTGTGGGAATGAAAACGTCAGTTGTAGAATGAACGCAAGGGAGCACTAGTTAAACAAATAGTCAACACTGATTCGTTCACAAAAATGAACTGTTTGGACAGGTACTAAGGTAGGGGAATGCACATCCAGAACATTTTGATGAATGCATTGCCAACAACCATGCCGAAACTCTCACCTTCGTCGGGGTATCACTGTTCATTTTTTTACGAATAAAGCGCTGAGTTTTATATGGCAAATTACACGCATGTGTACATCTTGTATCCATATTGTATATCGGGCAAACAAACGGTGTTATATAGACAAATATTTCATATAATATTCAGACGGATAAATAGGATACCGAAAACACCAGATTAAATATTGTGGTTTGTTGGTTCGCTTGACAATGATGCACAAGTATTTGGGTACTAGTCTTGATTCAAGCGATTGTGAGGAATAGCGCCACAAGAATAGCAGATTATTTTAATTTTAAACTGGGTTCAAAGAATCCTCCTGCTGTCAGCAATGAGCACGCAAAATAGACTGACTTGCGCATTTTGTGTATTGTAGAGGGAATATTTGTAGTCCGCCGAAGCGCAGTGCCGCGGATTAATTTGGAAGGAATAACCTACGGGCCTATCTATCACAGTCCGACCATATAAATGAGGTGCAAACAAAGAAGTTGATTTCACATAGTAGCAAATTTCTTTAGCAACATTACAATGTTGCAGATCGGAAGCAATGTTGCCTAAAGCATTTGAAACAATTAACCGCACAAGGCAACAAGTGTGTGCGTAAATGCGCAAAACATTATTCCACTTGACTGATGTGCGAGGAATATATAGACACTTCAGGGAGGGTTATTTTACCTGAACTTGTGGATTCCTCTCTTCTACTTTTATATTGTGCAACGCAATTCCCTCTTTTTTATTATTTTGGTTTGGGCCTATACCAGCCTTCTTGTTTTTGAACTGAACATAAGCTACTCGGTGACCATGTCATCAGATGTGTTATTCAAATTCACACGTAGCTTTGCTAGCTTTTAAATACTTGGCTTTGAGTCGGTGTGGATTTTAAGACCCTTTAGGAATTAGCAGTTCCTTAACCGGTGTATAGAAGCCGGCATAGTCCCACGATTTGAGGTTTGTAAAGCTTTATCATTTTATTATTGTACTTATAGTACCGCATTTGTAGATAATTTGAAAGACTTGGCTTCTGAGGTTTTGCGTGTAACCCGACGTGGCTGACAGATTACGGAAATCAATCTGCAGAACTTTTGCGGTGCCTTAATTGATTGTACTTCTACATCAAGTTCCCTTGCACGATCATACAACAGGGCCTCACATATCAGAACAACAAACCTTCGAGAAGAACCGTCATCCTAATGTGCCATGTGGAAGCATGTCTCTTGCGTCAGCAACCTATATACCGTTCCGGTTCTCTTTGAAATGTTAACAGTTTTACTGCGAAATAATAATCAAAAATTAACTGATCAACTGGGATATATAGTGCTTATTTCTTCAGTTTGTTAGCCCATCACCGGTGTCAAGATTTTCTTTGCATTGGGGCAGTTATACCTTTTGCATTTGCAGAGCAGCTATCGGAATATTATACAAATTTGAAAGGTAACACTGTTCGTGCCACGTTCCCACAACTATTGTCAATGATGCAATGTTTGCAAAAGTTTGCGGTGGATTATCACATATCCCTGTTATTCAAAAAGGGGCAAATGCACTTTATATTTTAGGGAAATATGATGATTTGTAACAACGACCACTTTAAATAATTAATCCAGCCCCCTGAGAGGGGCAATACGTTCTCTCTATAGCAGTTGCTAAATTTCCCGACATCTCTATATTGTGAGCCGAAAATCCGCGTAAAAGTTTACAAATAATTTTTTATTGTGTGATACTTGGACAAAGTGAGCAATCTATATAGAGGATATTGCGTATTGGTATGGTCGACTTATGTAACGAAATGTTTCACACCAAT